CGAGACCAATGATATTCAATAAAATCAAGCTATTAGCACATACTTATATTGGAATCAGATGGATCTTAATCTAGCCCTATGTTTTTGTCAAATTCTATAAAGAATACAAAAAGTCACCTTGGAACAACAAATTGGCCATAAGATGTAACATCAAGCCCTTTCATTTAGCATCAGAGTTTTTATTTACAATCACAGGAAAAATAAACAAAAAAATATTTTTAAAATGCTGAAATCTTGAATAGCATCAACTTCATAAATGTCAAGTGCCTGTATTTTCATGAACCAGGTGAAAACATGATCAGTGTGAAGTTTGTGGTGTTGAATACAGTCAGAAGATATAGGCATGCAGATGGAAGACAGGGACTGAATATTTGAGACAGCAGAGGCCTGACTGAGCCAGAAGCACAAGGAAACACTGTAGAAACTAGTCTTCATCTTTGTGTTTTAGCAATTGCTTATAGAAAGAGAAAATATTTTTGTCTTTTTTCTTTAAAAAAAAAAGTCAAGTAGCAATTTTCTTTTTTATTAACCAATATCTCCAAAATTTTTTGTGAAAAGGCTTTTTTAAAATGGGACATAGCTGAATAAATTGAAAGCATTTTATTTTAGAAATATTAAGAAAAACTGTGATTACTGAGTATTTTTGAAGTAGGCATAACTGAACATTCTAGATGGCTTTATCCCCTCTATCTTTGAAACCATTTCTTCAGAATTATCATCCCCATTTTGTAGCCAGGAATATGAAGGCCTGAAGATATTAACATGTTCATGACTGTAGAGGCACTAAGAGCTGGATTGTCACTCCAAAGTCTGACATTCTAGCAATGAAATTATATATCAGTGTTAACAAAATTCTGGCATTTTAGGCATAATGATTATTTGTTTTATTCTGAACAACTACATGCTTTCAAAGGCATCCAGTATCTTTGCCTTTGAAATACTAAATGCCAATATCTGTATCCTAGTTCTGTGAAATCTAAAATTTCTATATGTTTCCACATTCCCAGTTGACATAGCTAATCTCCATATCTAAAACATGTTTTTAAAAAAAGTTAAAGAAAATAATGAGGCCTGGCAGTGATGGTGCACACCTTTAATCCCAGCACTTGGGAGGCAGAGGCAGGCAGGTTTCTGAGTTCGAGGCCAGCCTGGTCTACAGAGTGAGTTCCAGGACAGCCAGGGCTACACAGAGAAACCCTGTCTCGAAAAACCAAAAAAAAAAAAAAAATGAATTCCAGAAACTTAAAGTTTATATGAAATTTAATAATTTCTCAATTTTTACAGATAATTTGTAGATGAAATATACTATTAATGAGGAATAGGAAGTGTGCTAGATTTATAATAAGTTTTAATTTAATTTTTTGTGTATAATTAACATCTATCTCATGTTAGAAAATTTGTTCAACATTTTCATCCCTGGCTGTAAAGAAATGTGATAGGGTGGAGGTCTGGAGAGATAAGAGACAGAAACTACAATTATCATTTCCTTATAGTATATTTCACTTCTGGTGAGAAGTGGTGAAGTGCCCCAGGAATAAAAGTTTCAGGTCTGGTACCCTGGAACTCACATACTGAAAGGTGAAAACTGACTCCCAATAATCATCTTCTGACCTTCAAGTTTGAGCTTTGACATAAGTGCTCACACACTAAATAAATGTCAAAATATTAGAGTTTTGCCTCTGTGTGAGTTATTGATCAGTAGGACCCCAGAGACATTAAAAACAATACAGGATACTGCCATTGCCCTTATTACCCACTGTAACTATATGGTAAAAACATCATATGCTGAAAACATCACATACTTTAATTGCAAGACACAAAACCTCAGTCAAATGGACCCAGAGTCTCTCTGATGGTTGACGTTCATAGTTCTGGAAGGTTCTATGAAAGCTAGTGAGAGAGGAAAGCATCAATGATCTTATCCATCATGGACCCTGCATGATACAATATGCCAGACAAATGTATCCATTTGGTACAATAGTGACAAGACTACTTATGAGATTAATCAACTCTTCTCTTGATTGGATATAAGATATTCTTCATAGAAGTAGATTCATGAATGATACTGTTAACATGCTCAAAACTCATGGCCTAGGTAAATCATAGGCCTTATGGAAGAAGAATGGATGTCGTTTGTCTAAATCTCTAAGTTATCAAATGCCTTCTAAATATTTATAGGTTGGTGCTGCTCCCAACCTTACACGGAGAAGCTTCTTAATTATTCAGTCAGTAGTAGTTTATACAGAGAAACTTTACTGTTCAAAGTGCGGGGAATAGTGGACTGTGAGTCCTCAGCTATAAAAGGGACATCTGTATCAACTTCCAGCCCAAAACTCAAGGAACTTCATTGAAGAGGGAAAGAATATAAGAGCCATAGGATGTGGAGGGGTGGTATGAAAAGTTGTCTTCTGAGCTGTTGCACACATGAACCTAGCAGTCACTATCCATCCAAGATCTATAGATAAAACCAATCCAGTTAAATATTCCAGCATGGAGCAAGGCAGAGACTCCCAAGACCCCACCCCTAGCTGAGGAGCTATTTAGCAATTGATGGCTGCTGAAGGAGGGAGAGGCATTTTTCTTTAGGAGTGTGATACTACTTGGAGTTAGTGGTCTAAAAATAAACAATAAAAGGAGAATATGAAGGTGCAAGGTAGATGTTATAGGGTGGTCCTGTGAGGAGTTGGAAGATAGGAAATGATATGATTCAGATGCAATGAATAAATGCATGATATTTTCAAATACTAAACTAAAGAAAAAAAGATGAAAAGAAAATCATGTTCCCAGAACTTAATTTTCTGAGCAAAACCTTTATTTGAGCCTTTTCCCACCATGTTACAGCTATATTTAAATTGTATATGGATATTCAAGGGTTCATCTTATTGGTATTTGAAATGCAATTTCGGGCCATAGTAAAAAAGAAAACCAACTATTACTTCAATCCTAAAATCAAAAGAGAATGCACATGTGAAAGAAGTTACATTTAGCATAAGAGGGGAGTACTTTGTACAATGACTATTCTGATAAATATTTATAAGATGGTACAGGTAACCATGGAGTTGGTTTGGCCAGTTGCTTTGAAAGGCATGCATCATAGGTTTTTCAGGTTAGAGTCCATGGCTCCTGGAGCACAATGTGCCTTCCAGTTCCTAAGAGACTGATGCACCCCCTCAGGCAATGAAGTATCCAAGCCTCTTTATTCCCCTTGGAATTCTAAGAAGCAAGGAAGCTTGACAGGACAATTGGTTGTAGGCTTTTTATCTTGTGTACCCAGTATAGGTTGCAAATATCATTGTACCCTGGCAACTACCTCTGTATTGCTCCTGGCAACTGACATCATATTTTTGTCTCTGATAAGGGTATAAAAAGTCTGGTTGCTCTCAATAAAATTGCCACAGCCTCAGTTGTGCTGTGGTTATGCCAACCTAGCCTGATACAACTCGTTTAGGCCAGGTGACCTTGGGCTGGAGTAAGCACAGGTGCTTACATAAGGGTAATGCTTAATTTCAATTGTCAGTTTGATGAGACTCGGAGTTACCTAGGAAATGGGAATGCCTATAAGTGATTATCTTGATAAGTTATTGAGCTTGGAAGACCTGCTTACTGTGTGTGACACCCTTCCCTGGGCTGAGATCCTGGACTGTATAAAAAGAAGTGGGCTGAGCACAAGTATTTATGGCTTTCTCTTCACTGTAGATGCAATATCACCAGCTATATCAACCTCTTGCTGACTTTCCCATGAGCCAAAATCAATCCTTCCTGTCTTAAATTGCTTTTATCAAAGTCTTTTATCACGGTGGCTAAAACAGTAACTAAGACAGTGCATAATTCAAAAGGAAAGACTAAAATCAGAAGATGTAGGAAATATCTAGACTGAATAGGGAACTATCAAAGAAACAAAGAAGAAAGCCCAATTAGAAGATGCTGAAGCTGTGGTGGAAGCATAGTCAGTGGTACTAAATGCTACCCAGGATGAAAGTGAAAGAAGAAAACTATTCTAGAGTTTAATAAGGCCTCCCTGAAACTGAAAGACTGCAAACTGAAGACAGCTCCAGGGTGTAGTCAACTTTAAAAGTCTAACTTTTAAAAATTTATTGGAAAAGTTATTTCCTAGAATAAGAGAACCTGAAGTGGGTTTAAGCATAACAAGCAAAGTTAGGAAATGAACACAGGGTCAGAGTGATGGCTCAGAGAGTAAAGGAGCCTTCTAATAAGCCTGATGATCTGAGTTCAAACCCAGGATGGTGAAAGGAGAAGATTGACTCCTTCAAACTGTCCTCTAACCTTCACATGCATGCAAGGGCACATACACAAACACACACACACACACACACAGAGAGAGAGAGAGAGAGAGAGAGAGAGAGAG